CTTACGAGTGCAGTGAATGTGGCAGAAGGTTTATAGAGAAGTCACACCTCCTTACACACCAGAGGGCACACTTGGGAGAGACCCTATGTGTGCAGTGAGTGTGGCAGAAGGTTTATACGGAAATCAGTCCTCCTTGAACACCAGAGGACACACTTGGGAGAGACCCTGTGTGTGCAGTGATTGTGGCAGAAGTTTTACATGGAAGTCACACCCCCTTAACACACAGCATAGAGATCCTATGTAGGGAATGTGATGGATGTTTTCAGGACAAATCATGCCTCATTACACACCAGAGGACACCTTCTGGGGAGAGCCCCTATGTGTGCAGTGAATGTGGCAGAAGTTTTCACTAGAAGTTACACCTCCTTACACACCAGGGTCTAAAGGGAAAAGCCTTATGTGTATTGTACGGCAGTGGCTTTATCAGTAACACAGTCCTCTATCAACACACTTGGGTGAGTCGCTGTACATGTGCACTGAGTCTGACCAAAGTTTTTGCCAGAAATCACCTCTCATCAGATACCAGAGAACGAACACATTCTGGAGCGGAACCTTACGTCTGTAGCAAGTGCGGCCGACACTACTGATAGAAGCCTCCTTCACCACCGGATGACACACCAGGGATAAGCCTTTTGTTCGTAGTTGATGTGTCCGAGGCTTGACCTGGAAATCATTACTACATACGTATCAGATAACACACTTAACATGTGCAAGGAGTGTGGCTAAGGCTCTACTCCAAAGTCACTCCTGCTTATCCACCGGAGGAAACACACAGGGAGAAACCCTGTGTTTGCAATGAGTGATCTTGACTTACCAGTGAGCCAGTTCTCCTTTGTTACCAGAAAACACACTCTGGAGAAGGCTTATGCCTGCAGTGAGTATGGCTGCTGCGGCTTTAACCACAAATCAGATCTCACCGAACATCAGAGGACCCACGTGAAGGAGAGGCCTTATGTTTGCAGTGAGAAATGGAGTCTCACTCATTACCAGGGAAGCAAATCTCAGATCTCATCACTTACCTGAGAAATCTTTCATGTGCCTGGTTTGTGTCCGAGATTTTTCCTGGAAATCCTGCATCTAGACATGCCAGCGAAAACACGTCAATGTTAACTGTGTTGAGAGCTGCTTTAGACAGCCGGTGTCCATTCAAGGAGCCAGTTTGAGAGTTACTGATCAAAATTCCTCTTCAGAGAAGAAGTAGCACTTTCTCACCTAACGCCATCGAGTCTGAACCAACTCAGCTGACCCTCCTGTGTCCTTGGGGATCTTAGAAGTACCAAGGTGTCCTTTGAGGGGCTCCACTATCAGAGCTCCTTTTACATATTGAATAGGGATGGTGAAAGGATGCAGCCCTGATGCACATCCTGATTTTGAACCCTACTGGCATCTGCTGTGTACATATTGTACCTCGGCACAACTGTATAGTCAAATGCCTTCACAGAATCAATAAAACACAAGTAAACATCTGTGTTGTTACCTGCTGTCTAGTCACTTGCGACTCATAGTGACCTTGTGTGCAATAGCTCTGAACCCTGCTCTATCTTGACCCAACCTCATTGTCTCTAACACATATACCCCCATTACTCTATAATCACCGAGTCAGCCCACCTCATTCAGGGTCTTCCTCTCTTGCACTGTCCCTCCATCCTTCCAAGCCTGATGTCCCTCTCCAAGGACTAGGCCATTCTTGCAACATGCTCAAAATATGTCAGATGGAGCTTCAAAATCCTAACCTCCAAGGAGCAGCCTGGTTTCACCTTCTCCATGGTGAACCTCTTTGTTCTAACAATCCATGATACATTCAGTACTCTTCTCTAGCACCACAACTCAAAGGCATCAATTCTTCTATCATCCTTAGTCATTGTCCAGCTTTCTGATGCATAGCAAGTAATTAAGAAGACCATGGCCTGGGTCAGGAGCTCCTTAGTCTCGAGACAGCATTGCTCTTCAGTACTCTAGAGAGGTCCCTGACAGCAGATTTTCCCAATGCAATTAAGTTGATTTCCTGGCTGCTGGTACCAAGAGTGTTGATTGTGGAAAACATCTTTGTATAAGTGGTTAAAGAGCAGGGGTTTTCAAGGCCTGAGAAGAGCTAAAAACTAAACACTGAGTTGGCAGATCTGAGTGGCCCTTTATTGTGCTGGCTGTGGACTGGTTTGAAGAGACACCAGGTTACAGTGCCTGTAGGCAGAGCTGTCCAAGGTCCTGAAGGAGAGTTGTCTCTGTAGGGGATGTTTTTGTTCCAGAGGCCCTCTGCCAAGAAAGCTGCTGGGATCAGCCAGCCGAGTTGTCTATATTCCGTTACTTTCAGCTGTTTGGAGTTACCTCCTGAGTGGGATTCTAGTAAAGTACTTAACTGTAAGGACAATTTGGGAGTTGTTTGAGATGTTGCAGTGACTTGAGGGGAAGGAGAAGGCTGTGGGGAGGGGAAATGGCTACTGTCAGAGAACACTCTGCTGTGTTGCTCATTTTGATCTGCAGGTAGGCATCAGAAGGACCTTTCCCACAGACCACAGGCTATATTCTGTCTTCTCATTGATGTGAGTAACAAATTGGCTTGGGACGTGGACCTTGAATCTGAGGTACAGGCAAGAAAGGGAACAATAAATTTTGAGAGGTATTGGAGAGATTCAGGGAATAGACATGAAGGCTTTTAGGTCAGGTATGTTGTTGTATATATACCGTAGCATCAGAAGCAATCTATAGCTGACCCTCGGGCAGGTTTTCAGAGGCAGTTAATCACATGGGAGGAGATGGCCCATCCTTCTCTCGTGGCCTCAAACGGTGTGCCTTCAGGCTTACCATACAGCTTCTTGATAGGTCAGATAGGAATATGATGATAAATTTCCCCTGAACCTCAGTGGACTGAGACTGTGGTTGAATGAGGAGGATGTGAGAGAACAGAGTCTTTGCTGAGGAGACCTGAGCTAAGAGCACACAGTCAGGGATCCAGCACCATCAAGTTGTTTCCATGTCCCACAGGTCCTGGACGCACGGAAGAAGTGTGGCTCTCGTAGTCGATGTGTGATGATGTCCCCCCAAGGCACCAGAACCCTGGAGATAAAAATCACCTCAGCTGGCTCTGTGGCAGAATTTCCCAGCAGTCCCTGCACTGACTGAGGCTGTTACATTGCCTGGCCCTTCTGTCCAGGAAACAGGGCTGGGAAAAGATACAGAGACCATGAAGAGACTGCCTGAAAAACATAAGGCAAAAGGTGAACATTATTGAGACTGGAGCGGTGGAGGGATCCAAGGCTCCAGGCTGAGGTGAGAATGCTTTGGTGCCTTCAGCTGAGTATGGTGTCAATTCCTTCATCCCATGATTCTTGGAGCATTGTGGGAGGTCTGCTCTTAAGCTTCTTGGCTCAGGTTTGTCTTCTATGGAGACTGGCCTCAGGAGACGAGGAGGAACCCCAAAATACCAGTGAGTTGGAATTACTTTGTTTTTCTGAAATGCTGGCTCTTTCTAGAGAACAGGTAGACCTCTTATGTATGAAAAGGGGGAAGGTGATCAGCATTCAGGCGTCTCACACCTTCATGTCAGGTAACAGCATTTTGGAGTGGTTGGTTTGTTTTTGCATTTTCATTTTCTTGTTGAAAAATATGTTGAAGATTGATGTAAAGAACTTGGGAAACACTTTAGACAGAACAGTTGTTGTTTGTCTTTAAGTCAAAGACAACTCACAGCAACCATATGAACAAAAGGCTTGAAGCCGCTCTACAACTATCGACATTTATCAAAGTTCATAGAGTTTCCAGAGGAATGCTGTTTAGGAAGTGGATGCAACTCCTGCTTTCAACTAACTAATCTCAATTAAAAAAAAAAAAAGAAGTCACAAGTGTTTGAATCCCAACACTGTGGAGTTAACCACATGGTCTCACAGGAGATAACTGGTCAGAACTGGAAAGACCCATAGTTGGTTCCTCAGAGAACCTAAGTGAGTAAGGTAAATGTGGGAACACTTTTGAGGGCAACCAGACCAGATTGCTGTGAGGAGACCGCCCATGGCCAGGTGTCCAGTCCCTGGGTGTGAGCTCAGTGAGAGGCGCAGTCAGAGCACAGGGCTGCTGCTTTGGCAGTCTGGTAACCCTGTCCTTGCACCAAAGAACACACAGATTGTCAAAAGCTAAAGCAAAGATCACGAAGAGTTAACAGTAAACCCGATTGTGCGTATTTATTTATGGGTTAGGAACCAGTGACTTGGATTTACTTCATACACGGTTTCTAGAACCATCACTGTATATTGTGACACGTGCCATTTATTGTTTTAATTCTTTTGAAGAACAGCCTGAGAGATTGCCTGCCCACAACCCCAAGCCCTGAAGAGTTGGCTCCCTCTGCCCTAGTTTTCTACCCCAGAAGGTTTGTTCCATTTCCTGTAAACAACTTTGTTTGATGAGCTTCCTTTGGTCACAGGCTGTAGCCTTCCTTGCTACGGGTCATGCACCTTTTAGGGATTGATCAGTAAACTAGGCACCTGAAGCCTCTGTGGCTCACTGGGAAGGCCCAGGTCAGACTGCTGACTGGTCAGTCGTGTCCTGAGCATTCTTGGTCCTGAATTTATCCTGTTCACTTTCCTCAGAAACTGTGACTGTGAGCGTGGTCTGTGAGTTCTGTGTGGCTACTGCAGTGTATTACTGAACCCAGCGGAGAAGTAGGAAGCATTGTTGGTAGGTAGGTTAGTTTTAGAGTTGATAAGAAGGTTTGAGGCTGGAAGCCTGTCTGGTATCTGATTTGCAGGACTTAACCTTGGGTGGACGTTGATGGTGACTCCCTGATTGTGAAGTTAAGAGAAGGTGAGACACCAGCCCCTGCTGTTCTGGTGCAGAGAACTACCCCAGTGGTTTTCCAGGCTGTGACCTTTTTGAAGGACCAGGCCTGTCTTCTGGACCATCAGCCTTTCCGCTGGTAGTTGAGCACTTCCATGTGGCAGCCCCATTTATTGCCACTCAAACGGAAGACTTTTTTCAGCACAGCCAAAGTCAGAAGTCCACCCTGTTTCATCCTGCCTTCCCACTTTCTCCTGCCAGCAATTCCTCCGCCACCACGTGCGTCAGACCTTCCCAGACTCAGGTACAGAACATCACCTCCGTCACGGAATCCTCGCCTCGGGCCTCAGAAACAGCCAGAGCAGCACAATTCTGACCAGTTGTCGGAGTGAAAAAACAGATGGACAGGAGAGAGTTGATGTCTCCAGCCCCTCGTGTGGGAGGACAGGAGGGGGAGAGACTTCAAGGATGTTCTCCAGACCACCCCAGAGACAGGCCCTGAAGAAGGTCCCCCAGTGGTGGGAAGAGGCCCTCTCAGCCCAACGGGTGAACTCTCTGGACATGGACAAAGGGTTGGAGGAATTAGACACCTCAAGATGTGGACTGGTCAGTTATGGAGAGGATGGACCAGACTGTGGCCTGAAGTCAAACATCACAAATGAGACATCCTGTTTCAAGTCAAGCCCTCTGTGTGCAGTGAGTTGTGGCCACAGCTTTGATCAGAAATTGCATTTTCTTATGCACCAGAGGACAGTCTCAAGGGAGGAGCATCATGTGTGCCTGAAGTGTGAACGAGGCTTTATCGAGAAGGCAGGCTTGCTTCTCCTTCAGAGGACACACTCAGTGGTGAAGACACGTTTGTGGAAGGACACACTAGGTTTCATCCAAAACCCTAGCCACCCAAAGCACCAGAAAATGCACTCAAATGAGAAGCCTTATGTTTGCAATAGGTGTGGCCTTGGCTTTAGCCAGAAATCACTTTTCCCCTTACACCAGAGGACACATTCTAGGGAGAAGCATTATGGACCCCTGGAGTCTAGGTGAAGTGTAATCCAGAAGGTACACCTCAGCAGACATCAGAGGACACCCTCAGATAAGTAGCTTTATGTTAGTAGTAAGTGTGGTCAAGACTTCCATCACAAATCCAGTCTCATCAGACACCAGAAGACACACCCCTGTGAGAAACCTTATGTTTGCCTGGAATGTGGCCAGGGGGTTAGGCTGGAGTCTTGTCTCCTTGTGCACCAGAGGACACACGCAGGGGAGAAGCCTCATGTGTGCAGTGAGTGTGGCTGAGGCTTCATCTGAAGTCACAGACCCTTATGCACAGGCAGACACATGTGTGCAAGGAACGTGGTCGAGGCTTCACACGCAATTAAAATCTTGTAACACATCAGAGGATACACTCAGGAGAGTGGACAAGGAGTGCAGCCGAGGCTTCAGCCACAGGTCAAATCTCATCATCCACCAGAGGGCACACTCAGGAGAGAAGCCACACACATGTCTGCACAGAGTGTAAGCAAGGCTTTGATCAGAAGTTAGATCTCTTGTACTACCAGGTGACACAGTCGGGGGAGAAGCCACGTGTGCAAGAAGTGTGGGTGTGACTTCTGCTACAAGCAGAGCCTGGTCAGACCTCACTTGAGCGATGCCTTGTGTTTACAGTGAGAGTCGTCATGTTCCATACACCATCCGACCCAGGATATCAGCTCTGTGTGCAGATAGTACACATGTGAATGCGGGTGAGGGGTACGTGACATGCCTCAGAGAGCAGCATGGTGGGCAGGTAAGTGTGAGATGTGCTGGCAGGAAGCTGTCCCTCCTCCTCCTGCAGATGAAACACTTGGGAAGAAGAGCTGTGACAGGACTGGTGGGCGGAGCCTTATTCCAGGGTCCCTCAACCACGGCAACCAGTTGCCATCAGCAGTCACTGCTGAACCCACCTCTGAGGGAGTTTCCAGAGAAGCCTCCTGACCCCTGCAGGAGGGTGAAGGTAGCAGCAGTAACTACACAAACCAATTTTGCTGTATTCTGAAAATCAAGTGCAATAGAAAACGGCAAGGCTTATGTCACAGGATGGCCAGCTGGGTTTTATTTTCATATGTCACTATGTTCCTGTGTTTCATTGTCTTCTCATAATCATATATATTTAATAAACTGTAACCCAGGCTGTGTTACTCATCTGTCCTGAAAGGTATGTGGAGTTTTGCTTTAGTCTTAAGTGTACCCTCCCGTTTCCAGCCCGATGACCTCTTGTCCTGACAGGGTCACTCTAGTGTAGCTCAGGACCGGCCAGTGTCCCCTCCTGTACCAAAGGCTGCTGTGAGCCAGAGCGGACTTGCCAACATCTCTGAAACACAACTTTCCCTCCTTTCCTTTCCTACTTGCTAGTTCTTTTCAAAAAAAACCTTGCGTTGAACCATGAACCTTGCATCTAGAACCATCTATTATCCTTCACTTTCAGAATTGCCTTGTTCATAATTTTTGCTGAGTCTTTGGAAAGGTAGAGGTAGACTGTGAAAAAGGAATGTCAGTTCCAGTATGGAAATACTTCGTCCAGGGATTCTGGTGGGTCCTCATAAAACTGCAGACCACAGAACAAGTCCCAGCTCGCCCTGGTGCGCTGGGCTGTCTGAGGGAGTATTTGCCCGCTCAGTCCCCACTGACACTGGCCTTCCACTTCTGCACTTTGCGTACTTTCTACTCTTTAAATACTAAACCTCACTGCTGTCAAGTCAGAACCGACTGATCGCTAACCCTCTAGCAGATTTGCAGAGGCGGCAAATGAGTCAAGTGCACGAGAGGAGCTGGCCCGTCTCTTGTCCTGCAGAGCTACTGGTGGACTCACCCCAGAGAGGAGCCTCCTTTGGGTTGGCATGACTCCCTAACGACTGCACCTAGTAAAGGACTCCTCCCCCTTCTTTGTCATCTGTAGAAAGTGTCTGCCTCTGAATTGTATTGCTATCTAGAACTGTTTGTCTTAACTGCCTCTGTTCTGTGTCATGTCTGTTCTAATAATCTACCATGAATATTATTGTCTGTACATTTCAAGTCTAGAGACCACTGCCGCTGAAAGGGCTTACTTGTTACCGAGAGGACAGTCTCCGTCCTCCTGACCCTCCTCGACCTGTAACAATCTTGGCACATTCATTTTGCAAAGTTGGAGGCTGGCCTCCTAAACGTTGACATACGAGATTTTCTGTTGTTGAATGTATAAGTACCATAATTATATGGGATGTGCAGACAT